GTGCTAATGCAGAATAGACCCTTATAGTGTTTTATATTATTCTAACATATTCAATTATATATTACAAGATATATCATTGGCTTTTTTTTGCTTGTACATTCACTAGAGAGCAGCATTTCAATTTTAGCTGGTCACAGTGGAGCTTATTTTAATGTAGCCTATTTATATGATTAACTTTATAAGTTATCATTCATTTGTTATTTAGCCTTTTTTAATAATAAGTAAAAGAAAAACATGTCAGTCTATATGTCAGTATCAACTTGTTTAAAGAATTTCCACGAAATAGTCTGTAAGTGTGAGAACCAAAAAGACAGAATAAGGTATTTTTTCACTTGTTTTCACAAACAAATAACACTTATAGGACTCAATTACATTAAGCAGAGTGGAAGTATAAAGTAGCAGAAAATGGACACACTTCAGACTGCTGTGGAGTAAACTGTCACTATTTACTATCACTTGAACATTAATTATTGCTCTAAATTTTAGCTGAAAACCTTACTGATCTGATACTGTATACTGTATATATTTCAAACAGTACATTTAATCTACAGAAGAATGAACCTGTTTAAACAAAGGTAACCCATACAAGGTGTTTATTTACCTCCTGCTTTGTTGTATGGACAAGTTGATTTTACATTACGTGCTGTGTACTTATATTTGCTTCAATAACTTTTTGTGGGGGAAAAAATTATGTTGTTTCTTTTGAAATGCAACCAAGCTGCTAGCAGAGTTATCCAGATTTCACCACTGAGTCCTGCATTGTGTGCTGTAAGACTTTTTCCACTTGTGAAACAGGGAAAGTAACCATATTCTGTATTTTATACTATGGACTATTTACTTTATACTATTATACTTGTCTTGATCATTATTACTGCCCCATATGGATTTGATTGTCTGGCTCTATTGAATTTCAGTGCCAGTAAAGGACTTCCTCAGGGTCTCACCCAGTTAGTTACATGTCACCTGTCATATGGAAACATGTTAATGTTCAACAGATTTCAAGTCACAGAGGAAAATTCATTACGTATCTCATTATTTCTCAATGACAGAATAAAGTGACACCTACACTTTACTACTACTACTCTGTGTGGCTTGCCTTATATCATATATTTCAAATAAAGTAAAACCTAAAATAATTTTTATTTGTAAATGATGAAAATGACACACACTACAGCTGATTTAGTTCTGATGCCACCATCTCTTTGCTTCATCCTCTCTAAATGTACCATATTGTTCTTCTTCTGTTTAAATGAAAACTGTCTCTCTTCACACTCTCCTGGACGAGAACAGTGAACATGAAAAACAACAAACATGTTCACATACGAGCTGGCAATCATTAGTCATTCAGTTGCCAAATATTGGGTGCAAAAATAGATGAACCAGTAACTGGACTTTGTCACAATGCTTCTTGTTTTAGGATTACTGATTACTCCTTTATTTTTTTTATGTTAATATGATACCTTATTTTTAGACCAAAACGTGGATCATTTCAAATACTGCTTGCTAAAATATAATGACTAACTGCCAGCTCATGCTTCCTTTACTATTTCACTTTGAGGCACCTGTGTCCGTCCCTCGCCACTATATGCAGGAAAGATGTCCCATCTGTAAATCATCTCAATGAAACACATGTCCACAGTGTAATTTGCCTGCCTGGAGCGATTTTTATTTCTTCTCATTCAATCTGCTAAAAGACTTTATACATATCTTAAAGCTCCAAATGTCAGGCTTGCAGATTGTGGCTTTTCTCAGTGGCCTGGCCGGGCTGGGCGCCATTATTGGTGCCACGGTGTCCAATGAATGGAGGGCCACTAGCCGAGCATCCTCAGTCATCACAGCGACCTGGGTGCTCCAGGGTCTGTGGAACAACTGTGCTGGAAATGCCATAGGAGCTCTGCACTGCAGACCACATCATACTATCCTGAAGCTGGAAGGTAAGCTAAAGGGGTCCAAGTTTCACAGCGAGCATACGGTGCCTGTATGTTCTCACATGACAAATTTTTTTCTGTTTACAATTTGTATGGTCAAATGCTGAGTAAAATAACATTGGAAACACATTTAGTATGTGAACAACCATATAATATGCAACTTATTGCAAGGTATTATATGTATACCGTGGAGGGGCTTTATGAAATGTTCCTAATGTGTAACCTAAATATTCTTCACCACAGAAGTAAATGTATCACCTTAGTTTCAAAAGCATGTATATGTGATGTACTGAGAACCATGAAGCTGCTGCCAAAATCCTTTTAAGAACTTGCAATTCAGTGCATATTTTGTGTATTATAATTTCAGGTGTAGCAGATATTGAAAAATTCTTTGTGGCTAACAAGTGGGCACTTTTGTGCAATGTATTTAATACATAAAGTAGTCTTTGAAAATGTTGAAGGTTACAGGGAAGTTATGAAATAAGTCCTTTTTAAGTGACATTATTTTCAAATAATTTTTTATCATTAAGTATTTCTCGAAGAAGATTTAGTCTCACAGAATTTGGTCACTTTTTCAGTAAAAGAATTATATCATCTATGTTTTAAAAATTACTCATCTTGTGGAGTCTTTGTGTCCCTTTTTACACTTTAAGTTATACAGTTTCCATAATGAAATGTTTCTAATTATCTTTTACTACGACCATGGCTGATATGCACTGCTTGCACTGCTATTGGAGTTGGCTTTCATTGTAATGTGTATAGGTGACAATAAGGATTTATCTATTCTATTTAATCATCAGAATAACTGTTTCAAATATTGTTTTAGATTTATAACAAAATATAATTTAACGCTGAAAGAATAAGTAAAGAATAATTTCTGTTCCAGATTATGGATCACGTGTTAACTATGGCAAATGTGTAATCCTTTGTTGGAAATGTCCAACTGAAAGTGTCTGAGTCACAGAAGCTTCTAAAGAGGCCAAATAGGGGGGATGTATACAACACATTTTGCAGGCAGTAATGAGCCAGTAACTTAATATTTGTTGTCTTATTATCTATAATTAGATATTACTTGATATGCGCAACATTTTTCCAGTCTTACTATTTGTATCCATGTGTTGACTAGTTTTAATTATTAGTCATTTTGTCATTATGTGGCTAGTTGTCTAGAATTAGATTTTGTCTGTTCTATTCTGGTCATTTTTTCCATTTGCTACATATATTTCAAATCACCACAGTGCTTAAAACACAATGTGAAGATATCTCTATAAACTTAGCCAATTCAGAAACATTTGGTAATATGTTGTATTGTGAAAAAGAACAATGTGCATTCTCAGCTCCATCTAATGGTGGCAGCAGTGTGATGACAGAAAGATTATTTACAGTGTGCACATCCACCAGATGGGGCTCTGATTCACATGATGAAAGCTTGATGATTTTCTCGTTTGGCTGTGATTTCCCTCTTGTTTGCTTTTATCTGTTACATCCCAAATCTATTTTTATATAATCTTTTCAAAATTAATAAACACAATTCTCTGCTATGTAGCAGAAAGTTTGTTTCCTGTGCTTGCCGAGAGTGAGTGACACGCTGTTAATAAGTTATGTAATTCCTGCTATTTTAGGTGTATGAGGAACTTCAAGCACTCTTGTTGTGTAATAATCATTATGGAGGTGTAAGGTGACTTCTTCTTTGTGTTTTCTTCACAAATAAATCCATAGATGTGATTTAAACTGAGACGTATATAGAGAGTATAAATAATAACGTGACCACTTATAAAATAAATGCCATTTTTATTGAAATTTTTTTTTTGTTGAGGCTGTTGGAAAGGTGCTGGTTCACCTCTCACATGTTCAACGTTGGACGCTGTAGTTTGTGTTGTGGACTGACAAAATAACACCTTGCAAATCACCACTGGCTCGCACTGCGGCCATACAGCTATGAAATATGTGATGATTCATTGTTAGTTCAACCTGCCACAGAGTAGGAATGGTTAGACCACTGACAACAAGTTGATACTTTAATACTTTAACCTTCACCTCAGGATGAATAATATGTGTTTGCCAGTAAAACTTTTACAAAATTACACTATTATCAAAGTCATTTTCTAGTTTTGTACCATTACTTTTACTTATTATTCAAATCAGTTGAGACATCCTGTACATCATAGTGTATTTACACCCACTCAAACACAGAGTAACCCATTTATTGTACAGCCTACAGTTGCTTTCATTTTAAACGTCACTACTGAGGTCATCGCACTTTCTACATCTTGAACTTTCAGTCCCCATCATTTGAGTCACAGTGACGTGTACAGGGTGAGGAGGGTGGAAGACGCTATAATAGACCATTGGCCACTTGTCAGTGTTAAGGGCCAAACTCCTCCCTACAGAATATAACAGTCCACAACACATTAACTATCAATCACATCCTATCCACTGAACTTCTTTGTGCAGAGCCTGGTTACATCTTCAACAAGCCTAACTAGCCAGGAAACCATACATCAGTTTTAGGTCCCAGCAGCTTAATTGGCATCACACAGCAGTGTGGAGGAGTCTTTTCTACAGTAAGGGCAGCATGTTTCAGGAGATTTTGGGCTTTATTTTAAGCACTTCAGGGTGGGTGCTGGTGTCATCCACTTTGCCAACGGACTACTGGAAGGTGTCTTCACTTGATGGAACAGTCATCACCACAGCTACCTACTGGTCCAATCTGTGGAAGACCTGCGTCACTGATTCAACTGGAGTTTCCAACTGCAAAGACTTTCCCTCGATGCTGGCACTGGATGGTCAGCTCTCTTTACCTTTTTTATTGGATGACTGGGTTTAATGCCTTTAACTGTGCCCGTTTCGTGGCCCCTTTTGATAGTTTTGTTCATTAATGTCAAATTTATTTTCTGTTTTCTTTTTATCTTTCAGTTAAAGAGCACACGTTAATGCCTGAAAGGGTTGTTGTAATTGTTCTTTTAATTTTCTGTTCTGTTTAGACTAGTGCTGATTTATCTTCAGTTTCCAAGTGCTTTATTTGTTCGACTTTAACTTCTTTTTCTTTTTATATTTTGCTGGAAAATTCAAGTTGAAGCTCATTGCTACTCAGGACTGATAGATGTCCTAAGGCCTAATGCAAGTCTTCAAGGAACAACTCACTTACAACCAAATATGTCAATGTTTAGCCTTAGTTCTCAGAGCTTGAAAGCTATAAAGGAGATTTACTGGTAACCTCAGGCGGTTTCTCCCACGGCTGACTAGTTTCAGGGGTTAACTTCAAAGGTAATATTTGCTTTAAAATCACACCTGAATGGCAAGTTTCATGCCAAGACGGTCACCATACTAACACAAAGTGCCTGAAAACAATTAGGGTTACTTTTGACAAATTGTATTTCTTGCTCTATGTGTAAATTGGTCACAAGGTCAGAAATGTCAAACTGACCTTGCGGTGTGCAGATGTGAGAGTACAGGGAATTCAAAACCACAAAAAGAAAAACATAACACCCTTTTGATTGCATATAAGTTGACCCCTGTTTAATGTTTTCAGGCTACATCCAAGCATGCAGAGGATTGATGATCACAGCCATCTGTCTGGGGTTTTTTGGCTCTATATTTGCCCTTGTTGGAATGAAATGCACCAAAATTGGAGGAACTGACAAAAACAAAGCTAGGATTGTCTGCTTTGCTGGTGTAAATTTCATTCTTAGTGGTAAGTATAGTTACATTGTGTTTGTAATATCTGTGTAATGATCTGTGTGATCTAATTAGATTCTCTTTATCTTCTTCTTCTCAGGCCTGTGCTCACTCTCAGCGTGCTCCCTGTACGCACACCGGATAACATCAGAGTTCTTTGATCCAATGTTTGTGGCACAGAAGTAAGAATGATGTGATTGTATAGCCCAGAGTATTTTACCATTAAATGATTAAGTTACCATTAAGTGTTGGTCTTTGTCTGTAGGTATGAACTCGGAGCTGCTCTCTTTATCGGCTGGGCAGGTTCAATCCTCTGTATCCTCGGAGGCAGCACGCTCTGCTTCTCCATCGCAGGTTCTTTTACCAAAAGGTTTGTATGAGTAACACATACTATGTTTACATTGTACAGAAGATAAATGTCATAAATAAATAACCTGCTGTATAATCAGTTTTGTTAAGTCACATAGTAGGTGTTTGATTTGTGAAGATGAATCTGTGTTCTGTCTCTTTACAGCCACAGTGAGGCAAACTATATTTACAGAGGTGCCGCCTCACATTCTCATATCTCCTTCAACCCAAGAGGGCAGGCAAAGTCTGTAAACCATGGGCCGCCTCCAGACTACAGCAACTCATCCAGGATTCAGCACTTTGATAAGAATGCGTATGTGTGAGGGATGTGAATATGAAACACTTTTAGTCAAAGCCACTGAAAGATATACTGTATTCTAAGTCTAAACGATACAGAACACTTTGTGAACATTTGCAGATATTGAGTTGTGGCTCACCAGGAATTAGGTTCAAAATATTAACATGTTTCTTCCAAGGGTACGAATTTAAAATTATAGCATACAGTTTACTCTCTGATCTTGGGAAATGTATATTTTATATATTTGACTGTGCATTGAATGTTAACATTATGTATGTATTATAATTAAACAGCCAAATCAAAAACATTGGTTCAAAATGGACCTTTCTGAGCAAATTCTCTATGTATATTTTTTTTAGATGTGTAATATTTTGTAAGACATTTCCTTTGTTGGTTGTATATTTAACTGCAAGTAACATGCACATGTTGTTAATCTGTAATGACAATATTTAAAACTGTGTTAAACACAGATTCTCCTATTTCCATGACATAACCATTAACTTTGATTTTGTAATAAGCAAACTGGAAAACGGTCTAAAAAGGGGGTTCTTTCTCTTTATTGTCCCTGTAAGAAGTGAAATGTGAATCTCCATTTTTAAACAGTATGAGTAAAAATAAAACAGATACAAATAAATAGAATTGAGTTTCAGCTGACTATTTTGTGTTTTGCTTGTTTTGTTAGCAGATTATGTCATATCTGCTCCTCAGTGATCTTAGCAGGTCTGAAGAGGGCAGCAGATTTGCAGTTTGCGTTATGTTCCTTCAAGAAGATCAGTGAGAATCACCCGTTTAAACTAATTACATATAGTGACACAAAGAATCAAATATTTTAATGTGCTTGTGGGCTTTTTTTCCCACTTTAAATACATATTAAATGTATTGTTGCTGCATACTAGTGTATGCAAAAGGGATGTAAACCTGAAAAGGTAGCTATAGCAGTGCATGGTGTGAATTATCTCAAGGGGGTGGCACACTCCAGAAAGTTTACAGTAAACATCTCACACAATTGTACATAGACCCTCATCAACACTAATGGCACACGGCACAGACACATTGCCACTGACTGGACGTTTAGTGTGTTTTGTGCCTTTACCCAACTGAGCGGAGGATAACTAGTTTTATTTAGTGATTTCAAAAATGAGGAAACGTCTGATCCAGATATTTGGCTTCTTGATATCATCGCTAGGATGGTTGTTTGTGCTGTGTACCATGGCCATGGACTATTGGAGGATCACCCAATTAGGAGGACAAGGAGGCTCCTTTATCATCAAAGTGGCCTGGTACTGGTCCAACCTGTGGAAGGATTGTTTCACCGATTCCACTGCTGTCACCAACTGTAGAGACTTCCCTGTGCTCTGGAGTGTCACCCGTAAGTGCCTCACCTGTTGCCTATATGCCTTCAGCAATGTTATATCTAAGTTAGTCTTTCACTCTGGATGAATAGAAAAAATGTGCAGGCCTTTGATTCAACAGGAAGAGCACAGCTCAGTTATGGATAAGTGTTTAGTGTGACATTGAAATTACACCACTGCCAAGGGAGACTATGTGACTTTTGTAAGATAAAAATAACGTATCCTTTGTTTTAGAAATGAAAAGTTGGAATTCATAAGGAATGACATAAGCCCTTTATTTCAACACATTCAAGGGTTTTGCAGTCTTACTTGGACTGATATGACCAGTAGTTTTTGGCTGCTAACGTTAGTTAACTTAAAGCAGATATTGCTATCTAAATAATAATATTAATAATAACTGGGTCAGTTAGCTGACTTTTTAATTCTTTTTTGTGTTACTGTGATCCTACCTTTTAGCATATATCATTATCCCATTCCCTTTCCTTGCTTTTGAGAAAAAGTCACATGGACTGAGGGTGAAAACAATAGAAGGAACATTTTATAATGTTAAACCGTACTCCATAAACTCAATCTAATGGCTTATGGTTACTGTTCATGTGATGGTTTTCCACTTTTTGTTACAGCTTTGTCAGACTGATGTTTAACTAAGATGGTGGTCATTTTTGAAGCTGTATTTTATATTTTTGTGTTGGATAGAATTAGATTAGACTAATTACCACTAATATTTTGTCACCTATACTTTACCATTCAGCTGAATCAAACCCTTGCTGAAGAGGTCTCAGCAAAACTGAGAAAACTATTAGAAGAACTGCAAAGATAGTGTCTATTCTTTGTAAGAGCTTTGGATATCCTTCAAAGAGATTTGATGTCGTACTCACATTAGCTTCTTTTCTGTCTGAGAAAAATATTAATGTTAAATACTTTCTTTTTTATTCTTGCCTGAACTCTTTCTCTCTGTCTCTCACAGCTTACATCCAGGGAGTACGAGGATTACTAATGTGCGGTTTAACTCTGGGATTCTTTGGTGTAGTGCTTTGCTTTGTTGGGATGGATTGCACTTATATCGGTGGAGCAGATAAAACCAAGGACAAAGTGCTTCTTGCCGGAGCAGTGTTTCATTTTGCTGGAGGTGAGTGCGGAACATGAATGTGTTTGTCTCTGTAAATGACAGAAATGTTTTGCCCTCATTATTTCTTGGTATCAACGAAACCTCTGCACACAGGTGTGTCAGATATTTCTGGCTACTGCTTATACATCAACAGGGTTGCCAGAACAACCTTTGCTGCCAGCGTGGGGCCAGGAGTCTTACGGTACATTTTGTCACACAGATCTACTTCACACCATAATGTTTTAATGATCTGCTATATTCGAAAGAATAATTACACAAATTCTGATGTATTTACAATGTATCATGACTTCTTACTTTTTCACTAATTTCAGGTATGACCTCGGACCTCCCTTATTTCTAGGATTGGTGGGATGTTTTTTAATCCTTTTAGGTGCTGTGATTTATGCTGTGACAGTCTACCGAGTAATGTGCCCTGAAAGGTATTCAGATTCATCCATCTTCACCATTTTCCTTTTACTAATAGTTCATACCACATTGTTAATTTTGGCAACATTTTGGTCTTACAGTAAAGTGGCGTATGTCAATGGTGGAGGCACATACATGACCCCTCGCTCCAGAGGAAAAACCCTTTACACCGGATACTACAGACCCTCCAGGCTGCACGGATCTTATATTGGATCAGGACGATCTGGCAGCTCCAAGATCTCAAAGCTCTCTCAGACAACACAAACAAGAAAGTCTGATAGAGATGCATTTGTGTAGCAGCTCAGAGCTCAAACACCACGAGACATAGGTCCAAATCTGTGTAACTAACAATCAGCATGTATCTCATACTGTAGATAGGATGAAAGTCAGTTCCTCAGTTTCCTCGTCTGTGCATCATATGTACAATTGTAAATTTAGGTTGTTATACTCTGTATAGAATACACTGTCTTTTGTTTACTCATAATTTTTTTATTTGGTTGTGATTTAACCAAAACATGTATTACAATTAATAACGCCACTGGAACATCTATGAATAATAAAAAAAACTTTGTACCAATTATGAGTTTTATGTCTCTCCATTTATTGCCCTCAATAAACATATTGTATTCCTTGATGATATTATTCATGGCAGTCCTTGTCATTTTGCAACAGTACATCCTTTTGCACCAATGTAAGTGTGCTTGCAATTATCTTTTTAATGCCTACCCCCCCCCCCCCCCACACCAAGATCATGGGATAATTATGGACAATGAGACAATTGTGTGGTTCATTTGATCACATCCGATTTCAGCTTCAAGCTAAATTCTTTTGATGCAATTTTCATGGCTGCTGGCTTATTTTGGTCAGTATGAAAATGAACATTAACTGGTTTGTTGCATGTCATTCATCCGTGTACTGTCCATTATGTTAAACCAATGCAACATCTATAATGTGCTGAATGATTATCTCGTTATCTTGAAATAAAAAAGCTTGTTCTCTCAAGATAACACAGTAATTAACTTATGATCTTAAGATAATGGCATTAACAAAATGCTAATCTTTTACCACTAAAGGATGTGACAAGGTTTTTCCGAGTTAAATGTGCGGGCCATTTGTTCACATGTTTAGACTTTAACACACCGTCTGAAGTAAGAGCTAAATGGTACACAAAACTGAACCCATGCTGGTAGGCTCATGTGTACCAACAACAAACACATTACCAAAGTGACCTTCACAAAACAGCGGAACCACAGTTCAAGGCAAAACATGTGATGATGTACACAAATGGCATTTGGCCTCTTCCATGTGTCCAAATGTGTGTTTTTGTGTGCATGCAGCACCCAAGGAGGGAGTTTCAGACAGGACAGGACAGGAGCTGCCATTGCTCAGATTTGCCTTTTCTCTTTCTAGCAGCTCACCTTCAAGACAAGCATGAGTTACAGGACTGTGGTGATGTATATGGAGATTGGCTGCTTTGTGGTCTGTGTATCTGGATGGATCCTGGTGTGTTCCACCATGCCCATAGAGATCTGGACTTGGTCTGAGGTGGACAGCATTGTCTTGACTACTTCGAACTACTTCTCCAACCTGTGGAAGGATTGCGTATCGGATTCAACTGGAGTATCTGACTGCAAGGGAATTCCATCAATGCTTGCCCTGAACTGTAAGTAGACTGTTTTTCAGCACAAGGCAAGATATATAAAGAAACTAAGTCTTGTAATGTGCTCAACATTGTTTTTTCGTTCTTGGACAGGGGACATTCACATGTGCCGTGCTCTCATAATCATCTCCATTATCCTGTCTTTCTTTGGATCAGTTCTGGTCTTAGTAGGAATGAAGTGCACTAAGATTGGAGGATCAGAGATTGTTAATGCAAGAGTAACCTTTGCTGGGGGGATGAACTACCTTATCGGAGGTAAGAACTGAGAGTTATTTTAAAGAAGTCACATTTCTATATTATCAATTTTAAAATGAATTTGTGCCTGTTATTTCAGGGATGTGTTCTATGATTGCTTTCTCTTATTATGGAAACAAAATTAGAGCAGAATTTCAAGACCCACACTTCAGGGCTCAGAAGTAAGTACAATTCTTAAGTGACATGGATAAAATATAAAACTTTTTTCATGTATTAACATTTATCAGATAATTCTATGAAGCATGAACAGTACATTTGTGTATCATTCTTCAGGTTTGAAATAGGCGTTGGTGTCTTTATCGGATGGGGAGGCTCCACCTTACTTATTGTTGGAGGCCTTATTTACAGTATCTTTGCAGGGAATGAAGGCTGCCACTCGAGGTAAAATGCCACCACTCCTTCATTCATTTTGTCCAGCATTTCTATTCTATGCGCCTCTCCACCTGCAGAAATAATTAACCATTCATTTCTTGAATCTAAACCTCACAGCTCAAAAAGATTTCCCACCTACCAGTTCCCTGGCGCCTACACAGTTGTTCCATCGAAAAAGAGCGTTGTGTCTTTGGCTCGTACAGAGTTTACCAAGAGCAGAATTTCAGCCACTACCAGTGGCAGCACAGTCAGCAGCATCTCTGGGATCACCGCTACCACCAAGACGTCAGCTGCAAATGAATTTGTGTGACCTATTTTTTAAAATATTCTGTGTTGCTGTTCCTTTTGACTTGTCACAGTAGGAAAAGCACAGATGTTACTAATAATATCAGCAATGGCTTTGTTCTATTCAGGTGTCCCAGTAAGCCATAAAAGTGTGACAGTGAGCCAGCATACAAAATACAGGGACCCTAAAACTGGAGCAGCTAAATGTAATTCAGCCATCATTCATTTTATTATTCACATCTGTGGTTGTCCATGTGTGACATGTCTACTTTCTCCTGTGTATGCAAGTTTTTTTTAGTTTTTTTAGGTGCACTGAATGTTTTGTATCATTTACAATTAGGCACTCCAGTGGACTCACGTCGAATGCCTGTTTTGCTGATAGACATCAAAAGAAATGATTCAATAATGGTGATACAATAAAATCATGCTCATGCATCAAGAAAACAAACATAAGATTTTGTTTTTTGAATGCAACTATTTTGTTGAACACATTTTGCTGTATCATAAATTATTGAACTAATAACAGAGACAGACCTAATGATGACAACACCTTATGTTGACTTAACATGTGAGCTCTGCACACTGAAGGCTGTATGTTGTAATTCATCAGATGTTATCAGATATTTTGAAATTTGCAATAAATATTTTATATTTATTCAGAACAAACAGAATAAAGAAGAAGAAAAAAAATAATCACTCACTGCAGAAGATTTTCACATCATGGTTATTCGCTATTTGTACTTACATCCTTACATTGTAGTCTTACATCCATGGAACAAATTCTTATTGGATGAGGATATGAGTTCTCATGACATGGTTTTCAAATTTTATAAGCCTTTAACAAAGTCCCATTACACCGCAAAGCTTAATTTATCCTGAGGTAACAATTAATATATTCTGAACATACCTACAGAATACACCTGCTAAATATTCACTTAAATTCTACAGAAAACAGCAAACAACTAATTTACATTTCAAGATTAAATATTGTACTTTATACTCCATAACTTCAATCTACTTTGGATCATTAGGATTAAAATATTGCTTATTAAATCTCAGTGGTGGAAACTACATTCACTCAAGCGTTGTACAGTTTTGAACTACTTGCATCTACTATGCTTCACTATATTTTCACAGAAAAAATATTGTACTACTTCACTACATTTATCTGACAGCTGATGCTATTTTGCAGATAATGACTTCAACATGTGATACATGATCAGTTTATATGCATACCATATAAGTGGTCACAATTAGCTTCATTTCGACTAACTACAACATTATAATACTTCTTACAATGTAATGCATCAATAATGACGATCCAGTAATACAATAAGAACCCTGACAGGTATCATTCTGCATATTTTGTTGCTATGAATTCTGTACTTTTACTTGAGTAAACGTTTAAATGTAAGACTAACAGAGTATCTTTCCTTTGTGAAATTTCTAGTTTTAAGCAAATGATTTGAATATTTCTTCCACCACTGCTACAATGTAGTATATATTTTACTTACTTTACTTACTTACTTTACTTACTTTATAATTACTTTATTTTTCTGTGTGGTTTTTGTGTGATTTGAATAATTGTATATTTGTATATTTGTATTTGTATATGTGTATATTTTATGCACCAACTGCACCAGGTCACA